GACGAAGTACACTGCTGAGGGGAGCAGCAGGCCTCAGGAGAGGTCTGCCACACCATGTGGTCACCTCTGGGACAGGCAGGAAGCGAACACTTGCTGAAGTGGCTTTAGCTTCTCAGTGCAGTGCTTTAACCCGCTGTGCCACCAGGGAGGGCCCCCAATACTTAACCTTTTAAAAGATATACTTACTTATTGATGCATACAAGAACTGGGTATACCTGAGATGGGAGGGTCGGTGAGAAGGATTTTAAAGACAAAGTGGAGAGCAGGACAGGTGGATCTACTGAAATACACTGCTGAGGGGAGTAGTGGGCAGGACAGGAGAGGTCTGCAGCACCATGTTGGTTAGTTCCCCAGCTGTGGATTGAACTCATACTGCAGAGGCTAGGTAGCAGTTTGATAGTTTGACAGCACTGAGATAACCTGTGCCACCAGGGAGGACTGGAAATAATTTTTAAAATGTTCTGTGGAGGCTGACAGACTTTTGTTTGAAAGTGAAAGGCTCAGCCAGGACAAATGACTTATCTATTCCACAGTGTATATAAATATAGTGTTAGCACTAGCAGTGACTTGTAGCTATGCACCATTTTCAAAAAAATTAGGTGACTTTATGAATTTATACTTCTTTATTGGTGGGGAAGGGCAAAAGTTGTATTTAAACAAAAACACAAATATTTTCTGAGATTTTTCAATTGAAGCTAACTTAATCACTTGAGAAAGCGTGGACTCTGAAACACGTGTAGTGTGTGAGCATTTTATAACATGTTTTTGTGTAATACTTCAGTTTTTAATTCTTAAAAAAAAAACCAAACATTCTGATTTTGTTGCTTAAAAAAAGTTTTCATTTTAATGATCTGAGTTAGTAACAAACAAATATACAAAATTGTCTTTCACATTTCCATACATTGTGTTATGGACCACTTAAAACTCTGGACTACAAATGCAGGTTTCTTTGTAGCCTTAATTTCAATTATTGTCACATAAATAAAAGTGATTTGCAAAGACATGCATTTGTGAACATAGGTGCCAAACATTGTACATGTAAGTTAATGCACAACCAATAATGTACATTATTCATTTGTGCAGTTATATGCCAAGAGTAACTGACATAGAAGCAGTTATTCTGGGGCATTTCACACTATTTGAAAAGCATTTCTGAGAAACAGATGAAAGTACAATTTAAAACAAAAATTGTATTCTACAAATACAATAAAATTCACAACTTGCACATGGAAACCACTTTTGGGACTCAAAGCTGACTCATTAACCCAGCTGCTATATTGGTTTCTGAGCATATTTCCAATGTCATAGGTTGGAAAGTAACTTCCTTAATGGGAAAAAAAAAATATATATATATATATATATGAGTGAAATTTTGGAAACAGCACTAATGTATGAGTCACTATGTATTATGGTAACTCATAAGTAATTATAAATTAATACTTTAATAGAGGGTCAATTACTTAGAAACCGGATTATCATGGAAATAAGAGCATGGAGGCCCTGTCTCCAGCCACTAAACTGAACAGGAAATAAACAACATCAAGTGATTTTTTTTTTTTTAAATGTTAGTTCCAGATATCTGTTGGTAGGAAAAGCCAGTCTGTTTTAGAAATGTTTTCCTATGTTGTGGCAACATGTGCTTTACTTCTTTTACTACATACCTCTTAGTTATTTGTATGTTATAAATTCCAATGACCTGGCAAGGGATGTGATTGCTAACTAACTAGGATTTTATTCAACTCACACACAAAAAAGACTAATGTATGGTTTTCATAATCAAACCTCTAAGACTTGGGGTTTGATGCCTTTGCCTATGTTGAGTCAAATGAGAACATGGTGGAAAACAATTGTGTTTCATCCAGGAATATCGCAGACTTGGCCTGATACTGTGAAAACACTTGTTTTAACTTAAATGAGTACAACTGGAAACAATTTGAGGGCAACAGTAGTTGAAAATTTTCTACAGGAAACTTAAGATCAGCTTTAAGGAAACATGTCTGTTTTCCATGGGTCTTATGGAAGATAATCTGACTAGTAAGTTTAAACATGCACTTCAAAGTTACCAAAATACACGATGGCTTTTAAAAATATTTAAGTCATTAATGATTCAGGAAAGTAAAGAGAAGTTATGTAAAGATAAATATTTATAACACTTTCTTAGGAATTGTAGTTATTGTCTCTTCATTTTGGAAAGAAACCAATTCTGTCCAGAGTCAGTATCAGAAAATATGGCTGCTTCCTGCTCATTCAGATAGCAAAATTTATTTTATCATACTCTGCTGATATTCTCTTATTTGAGTTAAGACAAAAGGAATCCAAGTGGTTACTTTTGTTTTTGAAATAAGCTGCCAAAATGGTTAAAAAAACAAACAAACATACAGAAAGGAAACAATGAACCCTTAAGTGAAATTTCTACTAATGGGTATTTTGTCTGATGGCAGGTACAAGGTTTGTTGGATTAAGGATTATTGCTTTTAATAAAACCATCAGAAATAAACACGCAAGCTTAACTTAAAAAACCATTTTCAACCAATGCTATGTTTTATTCTCAAATCAAGTCACATGTTACCTTCAATTCTTTGCCAGTTTACTGAGGTTGTTATTAAAAATCTGGGCATAAGTATGTCTTATTTGGGCACCGGGCAGTAACACTGCTTTCTTGCTAAGACTTAAGGCACTAAATGGTGGTAAAATAAACAAAAGTATGATGATTAATAACTTCTTCAGATAGATTCTAAAAAAGGAGATCATTTAGGACACTAGTAAACCTTTTTCTCAAATAAGGCATCCTGTTGGCAAACACAAATAAAACACAAGGTCATGTTGAACCTAGTACATTCACTGTCTCAGCTAATCTACTTGAAATACTAGCTATTAAAACTAAAGAAAAGTTACAATAATAGCATGTATAAAGGTTGGAAAGGCACCAAAGGATAACTCTACTACTTCCAGTTCTAAGAGTTAGGTAAGCTGTGTTTAACACTGCATGTAGTCTGATTATCAATTTTGTTCTTTAGGATGTATAATGTGGTTAGAATTTTATTTCAACAAATTGGTTAATCAAGTGCAAGTTTAGTAAGAAATTTATTTTCATGAATTAGGAAATTACTGCAGTGTATAACACATCCTCATTCATAAAGCTAAACTAATTCTGGTATTGAATGCATATTCTGGATAACACTGAAGCAAACCTGTATAAACAAAAATGGTTACCTCAAGGTAAAATTCACAATGGAAATTCAATATATAACTAAATAAGATTTACTGAAAACGAAAAGTGTAGCACAGATACATCAAACATAATCATAATCACATTTTTCTTGTGAAAAATACAACTATTAGTGAAATAAAATGTACATTTGAAAAAATTTCCAAAGGAAAAACGGTATAAAGGAAAATACTTTTCTTTATGATAGGGAAAACAGTATGTTGTTGTTGTTTTTTTTATCACAATATAATTTGACACAAAAGCAGTTATAGAATTGCACCAATTCCACATCCAGTTTCCTGAACATGTTAAGAGTAAGAGGAGTTCATAAAGCAGAATGAAGTTTCTGAGTTTTATATTTTAAATTGATGATATCCTCATACACAATGTCACATTACATTAGATATGTTTACATAATATACAATACTTTGTTTTGTGGCCAGACATGAATGCATACATATGCTTTCTGCCACTTTTCTTTTATTCTGGTACTCAGGGGAAAAAATCATCAAGTTAACTTAAGTGTTATCTCTCTAGCAATAAAGAAAAATTATATTTAGTGCATGCTTTATAATTTTATTTCTGAAAATAAAACTCAGTTATCCAATGGTTCACAAAATAGAAAAATCAGTCAGATAAAAGTGTGGTGGATGTCGGTCCATTTCCAAAGGACTGACTCCCTGGGTAGCACCACTGTCCTTTAACAGAGGTCATGATGCAAGTTCCACGATCAGGCCTGCAGGAGACCACTGCCTGATATTGTATGAGGTCCCAGACCCTCTTTGACAACCCCTCTCCGCCATTTCATTAGTGCTATGAAATAAATGGGATTTTTGTGGAAATGTTAGGAACATCTCTGCTGTACATGATTTAGAAGTTCTCCAAATTTTTCAAATAGGTCTTCCACCCATTTTACATTTTTCATGCAAAGTTGAACAATTTCTTCCTGTCCTAAATCTTCATTTTTTTTCTGCACAGAAGAAATCTAAAATAAAGATAATTGTCATATTAGCTTATACTTAGCACTTTACAAGTGGTCAAAACTTTCTCAATTCCTTCTAATGGTGTTTAAAGACAACAAAATGTGGAAATTAATTCTGCATTTCAGAACACTGTGAAATAGTCAACTATTTTGCATGACCTTTTTTAATTTCCTCCTTTGCTAGTAAGATTTTTATGAATATCTTTCCATACCAATACCAAATATACCAGGTATAATCTTAAGCCTACTTAGCCCTTTTTAATTGGAAAAAAAAAAAAAAAAGTGGTTGTCAGAAAAAGCGTAATGATTACGTAATGATAATATGTAATCATTAGAAGTCTCAGGAAATCAGTCTTTATAGCACTCACAAAATGGTATTACTGTCATATATTTTTTTTTGGCAACAAAGTTATGAATACTTAAAAGTTGCAATTAATTTTAAGTCATTTTTTTCATTCGGCACCCACATTTCACTGCAGTTAAGTGGGAGGAGTTCATTCAAGTGATAAGACAGTGAGATAGCAAAAGCATAACTAAAGTGATTTAAAGTATCATTATGAGAGAAGAACATACAATAAAGTGTTGTTTATTATGGTGATGTGAATGAAGCAAGCACTAACAACTTAAAAACACTGCCACTTATAGCTCCTATAAGATGTGGTAAGCCTCAGTTTAATCTGGGCACAATATGTAACAGAGAGACTCACAACAAATCTTTCAGAATTATTTACAGGAGAATACAGGACCATATACAGAGGCCCACATATATATAGTTAACAATTCTCATAAAAAAAAAAAAAACGTTCTACAATCTATTTAGGTTTGGAAAACTTCCCTTTTAAAATAAACGGGAAAAAATTACCTCATCTTTACATATCAGATAAACATGATATTTATAATGATGGAGTGAATGATACAAAGAATACAACTGTATTTTCTCTGGATCAACAGCAAACTCCTATAAAGAGAAAAAAGTTTATAGATTATTTCATGGAGCATATGGGCTAAGAATACTTTTATGAAAATACTTTTGTTAAGTATTTACAAGTCTCAATGGAAATCTTAAAAGTGACTTGTATGGCTAATAGCATTTTTTAAAAAAGATTTATTTATGCACACAAGAACTGGGGTGCAAGCTGGAGGTATGGATGTGGGGTGAGAGGATTCACCAGAGACAAGAGTGAGGAACAGGACAGGCGGATGTGCTGAGGGGAGCACTAGGGGAGACAGAAGAGGTCTGCTGGGCCATGTGGGTTAGCTCCCTGGACGGCAATAACTTGATAGTGCTGATACTTAACTGCCTGCACCACCAGGGAGGCCTTAACAGCTTGTATTAATATGGGCAAGAGGTTTGTTTGAAGGGGAGGAAGTTAAAATTTAAAATTTTTATCCTTTTTGTTGAATATAAATACATGGTATTTAAAATTTTTGCTTCCCCGTGTATAATATTAGTAAGACTGATACCATACTGTACATATTGTTCTGTAACTTTAGTTTTTATAACATAACATATTTCATCTAACTGAAGCTTAAGTATTTTTCAATTTATTTTGTATATTCCTCCTCCCATATAAACAATAAGGAAAGGGCTTTTTGACCATTTTTCATTTGTATTCTTGATATGGAAAGAATGAATCAATTTATCCCATCTTTTAAAAAAATACATAGTATTACATTATCTGGATGGATTTTTAATTATCTAATCTCCCACTGCAAACAATTCTGCAATGCAAAGACAAAGATTTTTATGTACTTGTGAATGTATTTCTACAGAATACTTTTTTGATATATTCTGTAGTTCATCTTATTCCCATTGGGATTAATATGTTGTTAAACTTTTCTGAAAAGGCAGTAATACTGTTTAAAATGAATGAAATTAAAGTGTGAGTATTTTGCTGATATGGAATCAATACTGAATCTTCTTATGGAATATAGTCTTATTTACTTATCTGTACACATTTGTATCCAGTGGCAAAAAAACCTGTATCAAAACACAAACATGGACATGGGGTAACCTTACTTATTAATCTATTAAATAAATATTTGTGAGCATTCATGGCTATACTGAGTCCCTGAATCAGACTGAGTCCTTGTTTCTTAGGACAGACCTGACCATTCCTACCTGAAAAGGCCACACATTTAACAATAGTACTTGTTTCAGTGATATAAGCAGCAATTATACTAAGAAGGGGAAAAGGTATAATTACATCAATTAATATACACTTACTTGTGCAGATTTAGTGGTTTTAGAAGTCCTTAGAGTTTTCTTATTATAAGCTTTGCCATTCATTTTGATTTTAGAAATAGCAGATCCCCCGTTCTTTGCTTTAGAGTCTCGAGTAATTATTGTCAGTTCAGGAAAGCTTTCCAAGGCATTCTTTAAAATGAAGCAAAAATAATTGACTTTTAGAAGAAAACTGAATTATTTCTAGATTCAAATTTCTTTTTTAATATAGGGGAAAATACATAATGTGAGGAGATACTGATGGTGTATGATAAATATATACATATACAGAGATGTACATATTCAATTGTAAGCCTGTTAAACATGGCCACAAATTTTTGCAGCTCCTCTTATTAAGATGTAGAAACTATCCCCATCCCTTGAATCTGGGCTAACCTTATAACCTGCTTTAGGAAGTTCTTTCTAGTAATGGTTCTTCTGGCTTCAAGGTAGGGGAAAGAGGGACATACAAAAATCTCTCCAAAGTTCTACCAATTAAATCACTGTCCGGATCCTGAAACTTGGCCTAGTCTTGCTATAAGAAGTCATCTGATCCTGAGATGAGGATGAGAACAGAGGAAAACATGAACCACTGTGATCCTTCCCTGGCTTCCTCAATTCTGTTACTTCTTTTGATTACAGGAAAAGTGGTTGTGAGATAAGGTTGTAAAACAGAACTTGATGAATTTTCTGACCACAGTGACATAGTGTCTACCACTTAAAATTTAGTGGCCACAGAGCAGAACCAACTCTATTCCATTTTTTTAAAAGCCAGTGACATTTTATGACTTTACCTAGTTGACAAATCCTAATAGGAAAGCTATAACTAACTGAATATTTGCAGCTAATTTTAACCAGTTTGATTCTGATTTAAATTAAATTGAGCTACCAGTAGTTATTATTTCGACAGTAAATGGATTAAGTGCTCCCATTATATTATCAGAATAGATTCTAGTTCTTGTTTGATAAGCTCAACCTTTTTATAAATAGTTACAACCTTGAAAGTCACTCTTTCAAATACCTAGGAATTCCCAAATACCTGGTATTGTGTGCCACCCCCCACCACAGTACATTTTAAACCAGTAACCTAATACTTTCGGAGATATATGTATATAGGAGAGAACTAAATTTCATTTAATAGAAGGAATTTTTGGCATATCCTACCAGAGTAAGCTATCATTAGTTTCTAGTTTTATTTTCTTTATTGGAATATCTGTGCTTTTTATATAAAACATGGTGTTTTCCTTATAAAACATGCCCAAGCTTAAAAAAAATTGGGGACACAAAATTCTTTTTACAACAAATGGAATTTAAAGACAAAAAGTTGCATTCTAAATTTGGAAACAATGAACACTAGTCAATGGTGATGAAAGGAGAAAATTTAAACGAGTTAATAAATGATACTGCAAGTTTGTACGTAAATTTCAGAGAAAAGAGAATATCTTTAACTTCAAAAGGTTTTAGGATTCCTAAAGTTACCAAAATTTTTATGGGAAATGGTGTTAATTATTCCTAAAGAATAGAAAAAAAAATCTCTTATAATCTATTAGTAATATTTTATACACATATTCTAACTTAATATTCTAGCTTTGAAATGCTAACTGCTATAAATAAAATTAATCAAAATTAATGACTAATTTAAAAAGTATTAATTTTGCCTTTTGCTGTGCAAAAAAAATATGAAAACTAATTCTAGTTGTTCAGTTTAGTGGTTTAGAAAACTAGTTTTAGTTGGTCACAAACTAATACATAACCTTCAGGTTTCTACTGAATATTCAATTCAAAATGTTGGCTCTATTTTAATATCAGTAATTAGATGACATTTCTAAAATGAATAGCCAAAACTGGTCACTTTTAAGGCTTAATAAATCTTTCAAAATATATACACAACTAATAACTTCCCTTGTCTTTAGAAAATAGGATTATTTCCCAAAAGAGTATTTCATTTGAATATTGCATTCAAGAAGAAATTACTTGACCATAAATTAGCAGATCAAATTCTTATTCTGAGTATGGCCTCTGACTAACTTTCCCCAGTCCTCTGAGAAGTGTATGTTAATGAAGAATAGAGTACTACTAGTGTAGTCTGTAGTCACTTAACTTTAATTTCGGAGCTTTAATTTTCACCTAGCTAAAAATAAAGTCAATTTTCACTATTATACGGAGTTAGCTCAGCTAAAACAGGGAAGTCATAAATCTGTACACATTACGCAAGGAAGGTGAATGAAAGCTTATGTTTACAAGAAAAACTTGCAGCAGTTTTACTGACAATTGTCAGGATTAGGATGCAATCAAGATGTTCTTCAGTAGGTGAATAAACTGAGGTACAACCATGAGGTATTATTCAGTGCTAAAAAGAAATGAACTATCAAGGCATGAAAAGACATGTTAAATATATTCTATTAAATGAAGGAGGCCAACCTGAAAAAGTAATACTGTGTGTTTTCAATCATGATTTCCATAAAATGTAAAGATATGGAGACAGTAAAAAGATCAGTGGTTGCTAGGGGTTGGTTGAATGAAGGGTGGAAAAAGGCAGAGTACAAAGATTTTTAGGGTAGTAAAATTATAGTAGATACATGTGATTATATGTCTGAACTCATAGAATGTATAATACCAGAGTGAACCACAAGCTGGAATATGAGTTATAATGATGTTCAGTGTAATTTATCAACTGAAACAAATTTAATTCAACACTGTGATGGGAGAAATTTATAATGGAAGCTATTCTTGTTGGGGACAGGGGCTATACAGGGATTTTCTATTTAATTTTGCTGTGAATCTAAAGTTCCTCTAAAAAATTGTCTATTAATTTTTAAAAAGCTATCCAATATACATATAATCAAATGATTCTAAGTGACATGGTATACTTTGAAAAAGAAAAGCTGGGCATTTCTATCTACTAAGTAGCATCTATAAAATGTTTCTGACTTAAGTGCAGAAACTCAAAATGTTCTACATTTTTGATAATACCAAAACCAATTTATAGTACCATGATAAACTATTAGAATTAAACATATTTTCTCCCATTATATCTGATCAGTACTTTCTCAGATATTGGGTAAATCAAATAAATAAATGGAATTTTGATAACTATGCTAAGAAAGGCCAACTATAATTATAGATAAAATGTAAACATTTAAAAAAAATTTTAGAAAAAGATTAGAATATGATCATTTGAAGGATGAATGTTCAGAAAACATTTAGAAATTATTACATAGAAAGAATATTAGATGAACATAAATGCCTGAAAAATGAATTTACACAGTGAAAAACAAGTAACACTAAGAAGTTACTCTATAAAGATTTTAATTTTAGTAAATAAATAAAAACAGAAAACTGATTCACAATTAAAAAAATTCAAATTACTGGTTGGGTGAAAATTTTTATAAATCTGAAACTAACTCATGAATTTTCCTTCTCACTACATTTAAGATTATGATTGCCATTGAGTTTTGCTAATAAACCATCTGATGGAAATACCTTGAATGACTGATCCAAATGAAGATTCAAAAGAAGTCTCTTTCGGTTATCATTCAACATGCTATCTATTTTTTTCATATGAGGCAAAAGTAGCTCATCTAAAACAAAATAAAAATTTATTGGAATAAAATATACCACAACACAAAAGCTTGTTAAAATTCCAACTTTTTGTATAACTATTAATATATTAGGACATTAAATTCATTAGTTTAAAGTACTGCTTTTAAAATACTGTCATACATATACTTCAGAAACATCTTTAATGACACATCACCCAATGCACAAGATAAACAACTAGGACTACATCAAATTAAAAAGCTTTTGTACAGCAAAAGAGACATTAATCCAACAAATAGACACCCCACTGATTGGGAGAAAATTTTCTGCACACAATACTAACGATAATGGACTGATTATAAATATCTACAAAGAGCTGAGGAAATGCAACAAAAACAACCCAGTCAAAAAAAAGAGCAAGAGTTAAAAAGATACTTCTCTAAAGAGGAAATTCAAATGGCCAGCAGGCATATAAAAAAATATTCAATATCATTAGTAACCAGGGAAATACAAATCAAAGCCACAGGAGATACCATCTCACTCCAGGGAGAGTGGCACATAGTAAAGATCCAGCAATTCCACTCCTGGGCATTTACCCCGAGGACCCAAAAACATTAATTCAAAAGAGCACCTACACATCTATGTTTATTTCAGCACTATTCACAATAGGTGAGCTATGGAAACAACCCAAATGCTCCAATATAGATGACTAGGTTAAGAAGAATTGGTATATATATACAATGGACTATTACCCAGCAATCAAAAAAGATAAATTTATGCCATTTGCAGCAACATGGATGAGATGGAAGAGATCATGCTCAGTGAAATTAGCCAGAAAGAAAAAGAAAAATATTGGATGGTTTTTCTTATAGGAGGAATGTATGGGAGCCAAATAAGAAATGGGAGAAAAGTGATTATAATAAGTAAAAATCAAAATCAACAGACAACTATGAACCAAAGACATTCTTTGGGGAGGGGAGAGGAAGAAAATGGATCAAAACAGGGGCGGGAAGTGCACAAGGGACTATGGTATGGTACACTGGTGAACTGGTGGTGGAAATTTCTTGGGGACCATACATGAGACTCTAAAGCATATGTTGTATGAACAAAAACAAGAAACAAAAAACCCAAAACTGTCATGAAGCTTTCTACCCATAGCTAAGTTGAAAACAGATTAATAATAACAAGTGGTAAAGAAACAGGGAGGCATGATGCTAAGCCCTGGATTTAATCCTGTCACTGCTACTAGAATTGATTAATGGTAGCTTTGTGGTCAACGGGCAAGTTGCCCTATTTCTTCAGACTTCATTTATCATCTGAACAATAGTATTACAAAACACAAATTTTCTCTAACATTCTAAAATTTTGGGGAATGAAAAATGATTAAAATCCAATATAAAAATCACAAGGGAAGCATCAATATAGTTATTTTAGAGAAGGAAAGAATAAAGGTATAATAAAGATTCCTACCCAAAACTTTGTAATTCCTTTTTGATCCCTCTGAATATTAAGCTCTTTTAAGAGAAACACTTTCAGAATGTATATTAATTATTTTGGTGTCATTTTAAGTAATTTAGGTTACTAAACTATTCCTTAGTTTATCAGAATAATGTACTCTATAATACTAATTACCTTTAATGACCTTTCTGAAAATGCATATGTAATCCTCAGAATCTGATTCCTAATTTTAATTAAAGTTGAATAAAATTACTTTATATATTGGAATACAGCACAGGTACACTGACCAGTGAAAGACCAGCTTGCACTGAAGCAGCCACAGCTTGGCTTAGCTTCATAGTGCAGCTCTCCAACCTGCTGTGCCACCAGGAAGGGCCTGAGGAAAGCTTTCTAAGGTCACTGTACCACACCAGGTGGCTTCTTTGATCTTTCCAGTAGTGCTTACATCTATTCAAGTATGGTAAGAATTTATATTTCACAAAACAACTTTTGAGTATTTATGGATTGTTTAAAAAACTATCAAACACCCCCCTTATATTAAGAAAAGAAAAATAAGAAAACTATGGTAAACAATAATAAAAAAGTCATTAGAAACTATCCAGGAATTATTATCATTATAAGGAAATGTATAGTTTATTATGCAAGGAATTTTGAATGAGAGAATATATATATATATTTTTAAGATTTATTTATTTACACATACGGAACTGGGCTACAGGTCAGAGGAGCAGGGACACTGAGAGAATTCACCAGAGACAGAGCGGGGAACAGAACAGGCAGACTGATGAAGCACACTGCTGAGGGAACAGCAGGCAAGGAAGAGAGGTCTGCTGTGCCATGTGGATCACCTCCTGGACCAGGGATCGAACTCTCACTGAACTCTCACCTGCAGTGCTGTATCCTAACCTGTTGCACCACCAGGGAGGGCCCACAATTGGGTTTTAATTGTGGTTCTTCTATCACTAACTCATTCTGTAACTTGGGAAATACATCTCACTTCGTTGAACCTTAGTCTGTAGAATAAATCTTTTATGATTTATCTTATTTATGCATATAAGAGCTGAGGTGTAAGCTAGAGGTGTGAGGGGTGAGATGTTTCACCAGAGAGGGGAGCAGAACAGACAGATTGAAATACACTATTGAAGAGAGCAATGGGACAGTCTTGTGCTGCAGGGACTTGTGCTGGAGGGACTGCTGATAGTTTATGACAGTGCTGAGACTTAACTCCTTACACTCCAGAGGGTCCCAAAATAAATGTCTTAGACTAGATAATCTCTAATGTCTCTTCCAGCTCTACATGATTTTAACATGACTAATGTATTAATTACTGTCTGATAAAATAGTAAAAAGCAAATAACAAAAAACAATGGACTAGAAGTTAGAAGACTTTGAATTTTAATCCTCTCTGCTACTTGCAAGCTGTGGACTCAAACAAGTTTCATAATCTCTTTAAGCTTTAGCAACTTCATCCAAAAAATGTCTGAGTTCTGACAATAAAATATGTTAAAGAGGCCCTCTCTGGTGGCACAAAGGGTTAAAACACAGCACTGCAAGCAAGTCGTAGCCACTTTGATTCAAATTCTATCCCCACAAGGTGACCCACAAGGCGAGGCAGACCTCTCCTAATCCACATGTTGCTCCGCTCAGCAGTGTACTTTTGTCAGTCTACCTGTTCTGCTCCCCACTCTATCTGGTGAATCCTCTCACCTGGCCTGCACCCCAGTTCTGTATGCATAAATAAATCTTTAAAAAAAGGTAAAAAAATGGAAATAGTAAAACAATATATGCTAATAGGCAGTGCTGTTGTAGTATATCCTTACATTCTTTGTTAAATTGTTTAATCTTACACAATAGAAGGGTAATGTAAACTGGCTCATCATTCCTTTTAGTTGTCTCTGGTGAATGCCATAGTAGCTGAAGAGTAAATATTACTGAACATCACTAGATCAATAAATTACCTATTTCATGTATCAATTTCACCTCTAATTTATTATAAGAAAAATCTAACAAAGAGTATAAGGAATATCAATAAACATATACCAATGTATGAATTATCTTTCTACTAGTTAACTAGAAAATAACTACTTGTGACGAATTATTTACTGGCTACAAATATCAAATGTTATTCTTCACACCATTATTATCTGGCTCATCTTAAAAATTTGTGAAAAACAGAGTATGTTAACATCTGGACCTGCCACCCTGACACTTAAAATATTTTAAAGATTAGAAACTCTAGAATTGAAAGAAACAAGTGGATAATAACATAACTTTTCCATGAGTAGGTATCAAAGTATTCAATATAAAGTTGTATATGTATTCAGACAATTCATGAAAAATATGATTATTTATATTATAGTCAACAGATTATAAATTTAACTGGCACTGTACAGGTGCATAAAAACACAAACCTATGTTAAACACATAACAGATAAGAATTTTTAAATCCAAAAGAACCACCAATAAAGTACTACTTATCCAACTGTACCATTGCTCTTCTCCAAGGCTTGCATTGTGTCAGGATCCAAAGCAATGCTAACAAGCAATTCCATGTAGCTCTTAAAGGTTTCCTTCATTGCTCTTGTGTTCAAAAAACGAGTGACAAAGGGAACTGGAGGGTCAAGACCTGGGAGAGTAACAAGATGAAATATTTAATATTCTTTAATGACAACTTTAAAAGCACTTGTCTGTAAGAGTTGATAAGCAAATAAAAGGCTGCAGACGGATGAAATTTCTTCAAATTCAAGGTTCACCTACCCTGCCTTGAAAAACACCCTGGAAGAGATTCTCAAAGCTGATTTGTGCCTCACAATCACTGGAGAACTTTTAAAATAATACAGCAGATTGCTGGACATTTAAAGAAACCCTTCATGTGGACCTCCCTGGTGGCACAGGGGTTAAAAACTGAGCACTATCAAGCTGTCACCAGCTACTGTGGTCCGAGTTAGATGCGATCCTTGATCCTTGGCCAGGAAGCTGACCCACATGGAGCAGCAGACCTCTCCTGCCACACCTGCTGCTTCCCCCAGCAGTGCTTCAGTAGATCTGCCTGTTCTGTGCCCCCTTTATCTCTGGTGAATCATCTCACTCTCCACCCACATATCTCCACCCTGCACCCCAATTCTTTTATGCATAGACAAATCTTTAAAAAAAAAAATCCTTCATGTGTTACTATAAAATTCTGGTCCAGAGCAAAACAGTTTAAAAAATGTGTATATCATCCTTGCACAGAGACAATTTCACTCAAATTCAGTGGCAAGAGTTGCAAGATGAGAAGTTTCAATGTTTACTGTTTTTTATTCAATATACCACTCCTATCACAGCATTTAACTGCAGCTTTTAGAGCACGGTTAATTGAGACCCCTAAGGTCCTTTTGGTGGATTTTGATGTTAAAACTGTCTTCATTGTAATATTAAAGTGTTATTTACATAACTTTTCCCTCTCTGTGGATATCTGTAGAAGTAATGTTAAGTAAAACTATTGTGCCTTACTTTGGAAGGGTCAAGACTGACACCGTCCTAAGTAGCTATGTAGTTTGCTATGTAATTTGTCTTATTGCCATGCATTTGAAGAGGGAGAAAAAGCTTCCACTTAATGGTCCTTGCTAAATCAGCAGAAATCACTAATTGCATAAATCTTTATTCTTAAAATTCTGTGTAATATATAGGGGGCACAAACATATGAAGTGTAATGGTGATCTCCAGGAAAAGCATATATATGTATATGAGTGACTTTTACCCCCATGTAACACTTTTTATCTGAAGAAATGACTGACACACTATGGTTATTCAGAGTTAAATACTCTGAGGCATTTTCTTTTTAAAAAAGATTTATTTATTTATGCATACAAGAACTGGGGTATAGGCCAGAGGTGAGGGGGATGAGAGGATTCACCACAGATAAGGAGCAGAACAGTTGTATCTACTGAGGTCACACTGTTGAAGGGAGCAGCAGGCCAAACAGGAGAGGTCTGCTGTGCCATATGAGTCAGCTCCCTGGTCAGGGATTGAACTCATGTTGCAGTGGCTGGAGATCGCTTGGTAGTGCTCTTAGCCCCTGTGCCATCAGGGAGGCTCTTGAAGACATTTTCTTAAAAGTTAATGAAGTGAATCTGTCCCTTCAAGGAAAGCAATTAACAGTATTTGTCACCAGTGATAAAATCTGAGGTTTTTTTTTTTTTTAAAGATTTATTTATTTATTTATGCTTACAGAACTGGGGAACAAGCCAGAGGCACAAGGGTGGTGAGAGGATTCACCAGAGACAGAAGTGGGAAACAGGACAGGCAGATCGACGAAGTACTCTGCTGGGGGGAGCAGCTGGCGGGTCAAGAGAGGTCTGCCGTGCCACGTGGGTCACTTTCGGGGTGGGACTGACTAGCACTGAAGCGGCTGTAGCTAGCTTGCAGTGCTGCATCCTTACACGTTGCGCCACCAGTAAGGGCCCATGAGGTTTCTTTTTTTTATTTAATTATTTTATGTTGATTTTGTGAAGAGCTGGGGAGTAGGCCAGAATTGCGGGGGGGGAGGGGGGGGTGAGGTGGAAGGCTTCACCAAAGACTGATGGGGGCACATGGACAGATCTGTTGCACCATAACAGGGTTTCTGTGAGCTTTAATTCCTAGGCTACCAGAGTCCCAAAATTTGAGGTTTCAAGTGAAAAACTGAAATTCTGGACAATTTGTAGTTACTACTGACAGCTCAACAGTTTTCCAATATTTAAACACTTATTAGATCAGTGGTGGTATCAGCAAATGTTACAAAATTAAATATACAACCAAAATGTAAGAAGTAAAATGCTTGGAAGAAAATATAGGTGGGTAAACCTTCATGGCTTTAGCAAAACCAAAAAGGTAAAATTAGCTCCCTCAGAATTTCTAGTTCTGTGCATCAAAGGACATTATGAAGAAAATGAAATGTCAACCTACAGAGTGGGAGACATGTTTCTAAAATCATATAAGGATAAAGGTTTATTGACTAGAATCTATAAAGAAATCCTACGACTCAAGAACAAAAGCAGAAATGACTCAGAAGGTGGGCAAAGGATTTGAAAAACACTTTTCCCAAATAAGATAAAAAGCCAACAAACCTATGAAAAAATGTTCAGTATCATTATTCATGAGGAAAATACAAATTTAAAAAAATCATAATGACTCCATATTCATTAGGATGGCTAATAGTCTTCCTTGCTACCCCAAAGTAGTTTTCGTATTTGTTATGATCTGGGAGATTATTTTTTTGGGTCTGAGAATGCTGTCATTATTAATTTATATGGAATAAAAGCATTATAAGACCTCTCCAAAAAACCATGACATCAAATCAAATGCTTGATGTTCAGCTAAGACGGGAAACCTGTAGTAAACAAACAAAAATAACAAGTATTGGTGAGGATATGGTGAAATGGAAGTCCCCCCATGTATTCACTGACAATTGAACAGTTAAACGATGTAAGCACTGTGTACAAGTTTGGCAGTTCCTCAAGAAGCTAAACATATATTAATTACCACATGAACCAGCATTTGCTAGGTATATATTCCAGAGAGGTGAAAACAAGGACATGAATTAGTGTATCTATAGAAGTGTTCATCACAGCATCTTAACAATTCAAAGACAGAAATATACCAAATATTCATTAATACGTCACAAGATAACAAGATGAACATATAGTGAAAAACACGCAATGGAATAGTATTCAGTCATAAAAGAAGTGAAGTTCTAATACATGCTATTACATGAATGAACCTTGTAGTCAAATTCAGAGATAGAAAATAGACTCATGATTCACAACAGCTGGGAAAAGGGGATAATGGAGCGTTATTATTTAATGGTTACCAAATTTCTGTTTGGGGTGACAAAAAAGTTATAGGAATAGTGGTGAAATTTTGTATAACAATGTAAATTTAAAAACCCTGAGTTGTAGTTATAAATGATTAAAATTGACAAATTTTGTTGCATGCATTTTCCCATAGCTTTTTAGAATGTTAAAAAAAATGAAATGGAACATGTACACCAATGAGCTAATATTTTCACGTGACCAAGCAATGATGTTATAAAATCACTCATGGATTAAAGATAAAATCAAAGGATAAGACAAACCAATAGATTTTTAATATATTAAACAAAAAAGTTTAAAGTTTAAAAAGTTCAAGAAACTGCTATTTATTGTTAAATGAAAACTATGAGTTAGCAAATAAATTCATAATTTTCTAAAAAGATAATTAAGCTATTCCCTCCCATTTCCCAACTATATGGCTTATATAAAGCTGGGGTTTCTTCATGTACTTTAACCAAAATGATGTATTAATGAGAAACCAAAAGTAGAAACAAATATGAAAATGTTACTCTTCCACTAAAAACTTTCAATTTAGGAAAATAGTTTTCTAAAAAAAAAAAAACCAAACAAACAACAACACAAAACTTAGTTTAATGTTTAACGGATTTAATTTAAATAAATATTTAAAAAATTTGTCTAAATAATATTTGGCAAATGTTAATATATATATTACACATAAGCAAAAATATTTTGGAATCTTTAATAAATCTGAAGATTATAAAGAAGTCCTGAAAACCATGGGCCTAAAAAAAATCTATGTTTTATATACATACATACATATACTGCTTTGAAGACCAAAAAAAGTTTGCTTAACTGTTGGTGACACCTAGTGGTTAACTCAAGTTGCCAATGGAAAAAAAAAAATGTATCTTGATTGTCATTTGAGGAAGCTATATAACTGAGTGCAAATTCAGAACCTGAAGTTTTCTATTCTTATGAATAGGCAGGCATTCAAATTGTAAAAATTATGTGTATCTTTTTAAAAATAGTATTTATCCATTTATGCATACAGAACTAGGGTACAGGCCAGAAATGTAGGGGTGGTGAGAGGATTCACCAAAGACAGATTGGGGAGCAGTGCTTGAGACAGGAGAAGTCTGTTGCGCCAGTGGGTCACCTCCCTGGCCAGGGAATCGAACTTATGCTGAAGTGGCTGCTGCTAGCTTCATAGTGCTGTGCTTTAAAGCACTGCACCACCAGGGAGGGCCCATGTGTATCTTTAAAAGAAAAAAAAATATTTATGCATAGAAGAATTGGGGTACAGGTCAGAGGAATGGAGGTGAGCAGATTTAACAGAAATGGAGTGGGGAGCATAAAAGGTGGATCTAGAGGAGCAGCAGGTGAGGCAGGAGAGTCTGCTGTATCACAAGGGTCAGCTCCCTGGCTAGGGATCAAACTCATACTGCAATGCCTGCAGATAGCAACATAGTGCTGAGACACAACCCCTTGCAGCACCAAGGAGGCCCCTTACGTGTATTTTCTTCTATAGGTACTCACAGCACTGATTTTTAAAAAATTCTGATATGTGCACTTTTAAATAATTCATAAGTAGCTTAAAAACCACACATTTAAAGTACACTTCTGAACTGAAGAATTTCTATTTCAATCCTATTTCCACTGAAATGTTTATGACCTTCTCCCAACCAACAGTACTTGTATCAGAAACTATTCTGAATATCATCTTCAATACCCATTTCATCATTCAAGTTCTGTCCAGATTATACCCTGAATTTCTCTTCTCCATCCCTACTGCCACTACTTAGGTTCACACCTCATATTTCTAACTGAACTATGATATCTATTTCAAATTTTATAATGATTCTCTCTACTTAGATCCCCTCTAAGAGTTCTCCTTTGTTTATAGGATCACAAAATTTTCAGCCTTAGCATGATATACATAACACCATCTCATTGTCTTCATTTTCTCCATCTATTTTCAAGTTTATGCTTTAGAAGGAGTCAGTAATCCTTTTCTAAAGGGTCAGATGGAAATATTTGGGGCTTTGAGGGTCATATGCTCTCCTCACAGCAACTGTTCCAATTCTGCTACAGTAGCGGGGAAGCAACTATAGGAAAATATCATTTGAATCAGTGTTGCAACAAATTGATTACAAAAGTAGGTAACAAACCAAATTTGGCTTAGTGGCCATAGCTTGACAACTTGTACATAAACTACTGAACTGCTTGAAATTTCTTGCATATGTTACAAATTTGATAGCTAATGAAATGTGCTAGTATATAGTCTTGGTTTTTACAACTACTTCAAGTTTTAATTTTTTTTTAAAAAAAGATTTATTTATGTATATAAGACCTGGGGTACAGGCTAGAGGTATGGGGGGAGGTGAGAGGATTCAGACTGGGAACAGAACAGATTAACTGAAAAACACTGCCTAGAGGAACAGTGGGTGGGGCAGGAGAAGTCTCCCTGGCCAGGGATCGAACTTGTGCTGCAGTGGCTACGGATAGCTTTTTAGTGCTGTGCTTTAACCCGCTGCACTACCAGAGAGGGCCTGCAAGTTTGAATTTCTAGTACAGTAAATTTCAATGGATATAACCTAAATAAATGTTTTTGTTTGTTTGTTTTTTGATATCTTCAACAGACTTTATGAGTGTAATAGGGTTCTAAGGTAACAAGTTTGGTGACTGCTTAGCTATTTCAATCTTCAATTTTATAAGAGAAAACTAAGGGGCAGAAAAGTTATCAAGCTTATTACTCTGTAGCAACTGGCTGGTTAGTGGCAGACATATACATGTTTGGAATCATACAGGGTACACATATATAGAAGTATGTAAATATGTAATATACATCATGCATATTAGAGTTGCTGCTTCTTTGTCTTCTACCATAAACACAGAGTAAGTTTAGAAGTAGGGGACTCTTTTTAATTTTTTTCAGTTCACTGCTGTTTTTACTTTACAAGGTTAAATGTGTGGGCAAATGTGTTTTCAGTTAGTGTGTTCAGGGAACATGAACTTATTTTTATAAAAGTGTAAGAAAGACTTACTAGGTAGCCAAATCCTCTAATAAATCAGTAAATAAATTTTGAATTGTCAGCATCACTGCACCTCTCCATTCATGTGGGTAATCTGACATTAAGTATTCATTTCACATGGAAAACTCACCCTCGTCATCAGTACTACTAGAATGGATCTCAGGAGATGACTCAGACTGGGATGATGAAAATTCTTCTTTCCATTTCTTCCGTTTCTTTGGTGGTGGCTCAGCCTTTACTTTTAACTGTTTAACTTTGGGTTTCGTGGAAGGGGCTTTTGTAGTTGTAGTTTTTGGTGTTTGAGGATCAGAAGTTTTACCACTATTACTTGGCTTAGACTGAACAGTTCTGTAATATTACAAAGATATCATTAATGCATTTAAACTCTATTAAAATAAATTAGACCATATAATGAGAATTACTGGTGTTAAGTTTAGTTGTTACTTCACTAACATCTCCAAAATAAGTCCAAATCCTATATATATATATCCAACAGTGATTCTCCTGAAACATTCTCTCTTTAACTACTGACAGTGAGTATTCACTTATTAGATACTATTAATTCAATCCTACTTCTCTCACTTTACTCTTTTCCTCCCACTGTGAACTCACATTCCAGAGTATGGAGGCCATACAACAATGGGCTCAAGAAGTTATACATGATAAACCTTTGGTAGCCACTTCAGGACATGATGACCAAAAGCTCTCACTGGCTCTGGTGTTGCCAGGTTTTGCTGCAAAAGACTGCCCTGGCACCCCTCAGAAAGATTTATTGTATGTTAGTTCTGGAGATTTGGGAGGATAAAAATCCTATCATAAAAATGGCCATTGCCATTATGTTGGACTCTTAATTACATTAGACTTTCAAATAATACTAGACTGAGGACATCTAGGATCACACTGTAAACTCTATGTAGACCACAGGGAGTATGCAGAGGACAGGTTATCTTCCAGATTCATACTCCAGATAACAGAGTCACGTTATATATAATTCTACTGTACACTTGCCTACTAAAGTACAAGTTTCAGCTTTTTCTCAAAATTGATGTTTACATCTTGAGTGGGAAATAAAGAACAGATTTCAGAAAGGCTAGCTTACTTCAGGTTACAAAATCTGTAACTCCAATTTTTTGATTCAAAAAAAATTTTTTTCTTTTACTACAGTTGGGTGACAGTAAAAGGTCTCAGGGAGAAAAAAGAGTTAACCATTCCACCATGGCTAGCCATAAGCTTTATAACTCTTGTCTCAATACTTTGTAATTCTTTACATATACATGACATTACAAGTAGTAAGCCTTGCAAAAATCATAAAAATACATTCATTACACATTACCATAAATACCTGACAGTTTGTGAAGACTTATTTCTTGGCTTTTTAGAACACACTCTAACATATTCCTTTTTGTTTGTGTTTTCAATGAACTTCACATATATCCTTTTGTATTTACTTTTAGCATCTCCAAAGTAGCCAAGGTACTAAAGAAACAAACACTGTGTTATTATATAATTATACACTTCATACATAAAAGATTACTTTGTCAGTCCTACTGATACTGAAAACCGTAATTCTTCAAAATGCAGCTGTGGCCAGGCTTATTTCACTCTGAATCCAAAATGATGCCAGGTTCATTTCTTTCTTTTTTATTTTTTTTTTTTAACAGATTTATTTACTTATGCATACAGAACTGGGGTACAGGCCAGAGGTGTGGGGGTGGTGAGAATTCACCAGAGACAGAGTGGGGAGCAGAACAGGCCAACTGATGAAGTACACTGCTGAGAGGAACAGCGGGCGGGTCAGGAGAAGTCTGCTGCGCCATGTGGGTCACCTCCGGATGGGACTCAAACTCATGCTGAAGTGGCTTTAGCTTCTTAGTGCTGTGCTTAACATGTTGCGCCACCAGGGAGGTCCCCAGGTTCATTCTTAACTGCAAGTCCATACATGGAGCACTCTCATTTGGCTAATCATCAGGTACATACTTAAATCAATGGCTAATCATCAGGTACATACTTAAATCAATGTCATTAAACAACTACATTAGTACAAAAGAATGACTTCTGAAAAATCAGGGTATTTGGCAGAATAATCAATAAAAGAAAGCTTCTGGACCCATTTGACCTTGTCAAAGTCTAACACTAATTCCTTTATTTAGATTCAGCAAGATTATAATTAAATTTTAAGTAGCTGGTATTTATATAATGATTTTAATTTTAGATCAGTTTATCAGCGTATTTGCATGCTGAAGTTCAAATTTTATACTCTTATATATCAGAAATGCTTAATATAAAGTATATTTGAATTTAAAACATTTTATATTTCCCCCCGAATCACCCTCAGCACGGCTAGTGTAAAAAAAGCATTTTACTTACACTATTTGTAGCAGCAAATTCTCTTTGCCCATCTCGAATTTCAGGAACAAACTTCTGTAATAAAGCTTTTTGTACTTTCCAAATAGCTGGAGGTTCTTTCCCTGTTTTTAAAGCTTCCTGTAATAAGCAGAATTACTTTTATAAAATAGCAACATATTTATATACTCATAGAACTGAAAGAAACCTTAGAGTTAGCGCAATCTTTTATTTCTTACCTAGTTGAATTCCCACAATAATTCTTACTAAATCTTTTTACCAAATTTCTACTTAAATTTGTACACATCAACATGCAACAAAGTAGTCCAATACCCCTTTGTTTGGTTATGGCAAATTCTCCATATGATACTCTCTTATACTACTTATGCCATTTTGTAATATGTACATATTCAAAAAAAAAAACCAGAAGCAAATATCCTAAAACATTACAAGCAGTTAACTGTAAATGAAAGGATAAAAATCTGAATGTTACTTCCCTCACTAACATGAAATGCCATTCCTCTCCATCCCAAAAAAGTCAAAAGCAAATGAACAAAAACTGAGAATAGATTTTCTTAGAATTTTTATATGAAATTGTAACATTCCCTCATAGTTCTACAATTTCAAATTATGAAAACAAATCTAATTCTACTTTCACATTATACTCCTGTTACTTAAATTGACATCTACTAGTGTGATTTATTAACACTTATGATAACATGAGATAATGACATTTTTGCAGTTAAACAAGATGTTATAAAAGTCACCATGGAGGCTATATCATAGGGCATGGCACACACACTAAAGTAGGAAATTTATGCTTGTGAAAATTCACATCACCTTAAAAGTCTCTATGTCTTCGATCTTTACAACAAATTCATCACGTTCTCTGTATTGACCTTCTCCTCCACTTTCTATGTTCTCTTCATCTGTAAAACCTTCGATGGCAACAGCATCTTGACCTTTTGCCAGCTGGTCTGAAGGAAGACCATCAAGGTCAATAGTTTTTGGATGTTCTGTAGAGTTTACATTTTCCAGGATATTTACTGTAGATGAAGTAGAGTAGAGAGAGTCTTGCTTAACTGTACCCACAGTGGTAGAGGAAGTAGTAGCAGAACCAGTAGTACTGGTAGATGGGTTAGTAGTTGCTACCTGTAGGGCTTCTGAAACTAGACCAAGCATATGCAAATCAGTAATACAAATAATTCAACATTTACTTGTTTTCAGTAAAATTAGCACAGTTTAAAAAGACTTGATTTTATGCAAAGTGTTTGAAATCATGAAAGTCACAGTAAAAAATTAAGGGATAGCTGTTAACTTCCAAGAATCAAAGTGGTATTACATCTCAAAGAGGATCAGACCGTGAACCTCAATCGACATGTACCCAGGTCCACTTTGGTAGAACTTTAGTAGCACAAAGATATTTAAAAAGAATAGACACACAAAAATGACACAAGATAAAGGATTAGCTGACCAAAGCTGCGAAGAACTCCTAAAACAAGAGCCAATTAGATATGGGAAATAACCCCAAAATACTTAGAAACTCCAAAAAAAACCTTGTGTACTAAAAATAAGACAAAATGGACAAATTCCTGGAATGGCACAAATTAACAAAAAATATTCAAGAAGAAATAAAACATTTGAGCAGACCAGTAGCAGACCAGTAACAGAGAAATAAATGAATAAGAAGCTACCACATAAGCACAAGCACTGGAAGAAATGCATTCACAAATGGATTCCAACAGTTAAATAAGAACTAATGCCAATCCATTATTTAATTTCAAAAAATAGTTGGAAACACTTCTATACTAAGCTTCTGAGGCCAGTTTCACTTAAACCAGACCAAAAAAAGAGAAAACTATAGACCAGTATCACTCATGAAATAAAATTCAGCAAAATAAGAACAAATCTACTAATCATACAAAGAATCAAGTGGGTGTTATCCTAGGAATGCATGCTCAGTTCAACATTTGACAAACACCTTATTACAGAACAAGGGACAAAGCCACAGGATCATCTCCATAGATGCGGGGGAAAAAATTGATAAAATTCAGTATCATGCATATAAGCACTTTCATGATTAAAATACTCAACAACCTAAAAACCGATGGGAATTTCTTCAACACCAGTGTGTGATCATGGCATAATATGGGCAAAAGCTGTCCCTGAAGAAAGTACATTCTGCTGTGAGTGATGGAAGGATTGAGAGGGAATCAAAACTCAACTTGAGGTAAATACAGAGATATGAGACACAGAAAAAAGGAAAAGCAGATTGCAAGGAAAGTAAGTGAACTAAGGTGCCTGACAACACACTAGAGCAAAATTTTAGCTAATAATGGGAGAGAAGGGGCTTGAGGGTCCTTCAACAGTGACTAGATAAGCCAGCCTACTTGTTCCATACTCCAAATTAAAAACTACCCTCATATATCTATTAGAGTTAGGGAGGTATTAAATGGGATTTTTGGAGTTCAAAGTCTTTATATCATCCAGGGCAGTAAGATATTAACAGATTTTGAGAAGTTGCAAACATTAAAATAATTCCTATTATAACAAGAAAAAGAACAGAAAATTTAATAAAAATAATCATGGTGGTTAGAGTAGGTAAAAATAAAAGACAACACAAGGCTGACCATGAATTAATTATTGAAACGGAATTATGCATAAACTGCCTTAATTATACCAATCTTCACACCATTGCTTATGTCTGAAAATATACTTTCATAATAAAATGTTAAGCAAATATTTTTTTGAAAGAATGTGTAACTTCCAAATTAGTAGAGGGGAAAATGTATTAATACTCTATGATACACAAACAATAGTGTTTAGTGATGTAAACATAGGTGGTAAAGTTGTAAAGGAAAAGATTATATCCAACTCAAATACTGTTTAGTTCTAGAGGTTATGAGTTGGCTTTAATTTAATACTCATTTTCATAGTTTCTTACTTTCAAATAAGTAGCAACACCATAAATTTTCTCCTTTGCCCCACACTTTGGCACATTCTATTGGTTTCAAATTTTAATGCTCCTCTGTCACTATATGTGAAATGACACAAATGAGTTTTATGACCAGCAATTTTTGCTTATTTTCTAAATGGTTCATTATTTCAGTTGGGTTTCCTTTTCAAGTCATGAGCTATTCAGAAATTTTAAAAATTATTTTTATTTCTTTGTTTTTTATTTCTGCTATTCTTTGATGAAATTACAGCCTTGTGATCAAGTAAGATAGCTTGAGTTGTATTGCATTTTCAAATTTTTGGAAATTTTGTCATGAGTGTGTTTTCTTTACATATTTTGTATTTCCATGACTTCACAAAGAAAAATATTCTGAAAGAAAGACAACAGAAATGTGGTAAAGTATAATAAAATGCTAAATATTAGTGTGGCAATATTAAAAACAGAAATGGGAAAAGATTTTTATTATGATAAAAGGTAATTTAACTAGTTAAATTTTATGCACCCAATTATATGGGTTCAAAACACATTAAGTAAATAGTATTAGAAAAACAATAAAACACAGTTGGTAATTTTAACACACCTTTTCCAGGAATCAACAGATCAAGCAATCTAAAAACAAATAAGCATAGGGAGGATTTTAAAAACCTTTTTATTATTAAAATTTTCAAACATACACAAAAGTAGAAAACACTCAAGTACCATAAGGCAGCTGAAACAATGCTGAAAATTTTGGTTTATTATACCTCTTCCATTGATATGTTATCCCTTTTATATTTTTTGGAATACTTAAGGCAAATTCCACAGGCCAGTCATTTACTTCTAACATGCTCTTATTACTGTTCTTTATTATAGTAAACATAAAATAAGATATAGAAGGCTCTGAACAAATTACCAAATAAAATCTAATTAGCATTTGCTGTTGGTGGACTATTTATAAAACTGGACCATTTGCCAGGATAAAGATTGGTGTAGCCCCTATAAAAAAGTGTGGCAGTTCTTCAAAACATTAAAAATGATCTACTATGTAATTCAGCAATATCACTCCTTGGTGTGCAAAAACAGAAATCTGAAGGGATACACACAAACACTCCTCTATTGTTCATGAACTGCCTAATGACAGACAAATGGATTAAGATATGGTATATAGTCACTATGAAATAATACTCAAGATATATAAAAAAGTGAACTTTTGCCATTTTGCAACAACATGGATGAAATGTGCGGTGGCGGTGGGGGGGATTGGTTATGCTAAGGGAAATAAGTCAGAAGGAGAAAGACTAATATTGAGTGAATTCAAAAATACAGTCAAGAAGAAATAGAGAAATTTAATGGTTCACTATCAAATAAACTGAATTTATATTTTTAATTTCTTAGCAAAGAAAAGTATGTCCAAATGGTTTCCCTAGTACTTTCAACCAAGCATTTGTTGAAGAAGTAATATAACCCAGTCTCTTGCAGAAAACAGAAAAGGAACACTCTCCAGTTAATTTATGAGGTCAGAAAAAAAATCAAACACCAAAACCAGACAAAGTCATTACAAGAAAAAAAACAAAAACAGAATATTCACTGTGAACATAGATGCAACAAGTATTAGAAAATTGAATGCATCAATGTATAAAAATGATAATATATCACAGTCAGTGGGATGTACTCTGGGGGAATGCAAGACCAAATACATTTGAAAATAAATCAAATATAGTCATTCACCATGCAGATTAAGAAAAGCACATAATCATCAGATGGAGAAAAAGCATGACACAATTCAACCTTCATTTATTATAAAAACTCAACAAACTAGGAAATATAAGTAACTAATGTGATAAAAAGGCATGTGTTATAGAAAAACTATAGTTACCATCATACTTAATAGTGAAAGATTCAGTTCTTTCCCTCAAAGATTAAGAACATGTTCAGGATGTACAAACTCACCATTCTTCAAAGCAGCATACAGGAAGCTCTAAACTATGTGTTAAGATAGGAACAAAAAAGACATAAGATTGGAAAAGAAATAAAACTAACCTTATTTGCAAATGATATTTTCTACATTGGAAATCCTATGGAATCCTCCCTCCCCAAATCCTACAAAAACCAACTTATGCAAATTCACAGATCTTAGGATCAAGATATACAACAAACTAAACATTCTTTTACAGTCTACCAACTAATAACTGGAATTAAAAACTTTCTGTTGCAGGCATCCCTGGTGGTGCAGGTTAGTCTCAGCACTGTCAAGCAGCATGAGCTTGATCCCCAACAGGGAGCTAACCCAAATGGCACATCATACCTATCATCCTGTCTCACCCACCACTCCCCTCAGCAGTGGGTTTCAGGAGATCTACCAGTTCTGCTCCCCACTGTCTCTGGTGAATCCTCTCACCACAGTGGCCAACACCCAGTTCTTCTATGCATAAATAAATAAAATATTTAAAAATAAATAAGATATTTTAAATTGAAAAAATTTCCAGTAATCTCTGTTCAATAAAAGACCTGGCAGTGAGGACTAGATTGATGGTGATGATTTTAACTGAAAATGAGAAAATAATAGTTATCTATAAGAAACTGTTTTAGACCCATGTTTTCATACAGAGATTACAGCCCAGTGTCTACTGAGCTTAAAAAAGAAAGAATTCTAGATAAAGAAAACCTATTCAAAAGTTCAGAGTTATAAAAGAGGGTTCACAAGTCCAAGTTGTCACAGAAGAGGGAAAAAGGAAAAAGTAAAATGTAGAAAAGACTAAAATGTAGAAAGGGAAATTTTTTTTTCATATTTATGTTTTTACTAGGAAGCACAAAGAAGTACTTCAAAATAGAGCATAACAATCAATTTTCACTTTTTACAAAGACAAATTGATGACAATGTGGAGGATGGGCTGGTACAGAGACTGGTAAGAAGTCTGTTACAATAGTCCAATAAGAGACGATAAATTCTTGCAGTTAAGAAAGCAGTAGGTATGGTAAAAAGAGAGCTTCAAGGAACTAACAGTAGGATTGGGCTGATGTTGATGAATTTAACTAAAAATGAGGTAATGGCTATCCATAAAAAACTGATTTTACTTATTAATTTTTAACTGAAGTAGCATTTTATTACAATATATGTTTCATGTGTATATCAATGGAAATCAATGTGTATCTACTACATTAAGTTCACCACTCAAGGTCGCAATACTGTCATTCATCATATTGTTGTCCCTATACTCACCTTAGGTTAGTGTTTTAGAAAAGACATTACAAAAGATTTGTTCTACAAATGCAAGAGGGAATGTAACACTAATTGCAAAGCACTTTTAATTGGGGAAGAAAATAAAACCTTAGCTAGATTAGCAACATCCATGTCTTGACACAAACAGTGGCTTTTCATTATGCTAATTTCCCTGTATAACAAATTGAGATTTTTAAAGAAATGTATTTACATTTACTCTTAAAGATTAGTGGGATATCATTATTTCATATCACTTTAGTAGTTAAAGGTAGTCTCAAAAGAAGACTATCAAGAATATCACCAAATAAGGTTTAATTCTTAAAATACCACTCTATAAGAGAACTCAGCAGGAACAATGACTTTCGAAACAAAAACTTCAGTTTAGGTTCTAGCCCTGTCACTTAAGTAGCTGAACAAACCTGGGCAATTCACTTACTTCCAGTTCTACCACCTCACTTGTATAATGGAGATAACAATGCTTATCAAAACAAAACAGAACACTGCTAACAGTTCCTGATAGAGACAGTAGCTATTATACTGTTATAATTTTTTTCTTAAAATAGTGTTTTTATAATTAACCTGTCAATTATTTATATAAAGCAGTACTTCTTAAGTTGTTCTAAATATTCCCTTAACCAGAGTAAAATGGAAAAAACATACCCAATAATTTGGGTATGTAATTTGGGGTCATCACAAAAGGTTTAAATTTTATTTATATTAACTGTATGTTGTATAATCATATTTAATAGCAAAATGTTATCTTGGAGTATAATTGGAATACCAAGAAAATATGCTTGTTTATACTATAAAAAGCCCCCCCCCAAAAAAGCCCCCCAATACAAGGCATCATACCCAAGTACCTCAAGATGTCTCAGATTAAGGAATTCTGGAAAGTATACTGTGTAAGTTATGTTGCATATAGCAAAAAAAACTAAGAAAAACTGAACTTTCCTATAGGCAAGGAACATTTAAAAAAACATGTTCCTAAGATACAAACCTATGCATTTCACCCTAAAAATTTATTGCAGACCTACTTCAAGCTAAACCCAGAAAAATCATGATGGTAGTAGTGGATTATGTAGGTATGCAGGCATGTGTATACACACACACACACACACACACACACAGAAGTAACAGTGGAAAGCCATATTCATGAGTCTAAAAACTTTACCTGTTTTTTTCTTTTTATCAGAAGTAGCATCCAAAGTAGTTAAGGTAGTAGAGGCGCTTTTATAAATATCATGACTGCATATTCCAGAGTCATCTTCATCCGAAGAAAATGATGATAAATGTTCCAAGTTTTTAAGATCATTATCAACTTTTTCCAATGGACTGTTAATCCCTGTTTCAGATACTAAAGGTATGGGTGTTGTAGATGAAGTCTTTGGAAGTGGTGGGGGACAAAATGTACGAACAATCTGGGCCCCTGGTCGTCTAGTCCTATTAGGCATTCGCACAGCAAGGGTAGAAAACTGCTGCTTGGGTCCAGATTTCAGAAAATCTAAGAAAGAGGCAATAAATCCTGTTTTAACTTCTGGCTGTTTTTCCTCTACTTCTTTGATCTTCTGTCTCATTTTTTCTTGATGCTGATAACCATCATGACAGCTTTCTGAGGGAGGAGGAGCATATGGCAAGTATGTATCTGTTCCCCTTGGATTCTGACGTTTGCTATGTGTAGGTCTTTTCAGCTGTTTCTGATTACTGTTCTCTTCCCCTTTAGTTTGCCCTTTTCCTTTAGTTTTTTTCTTCTGAAGGCTAAAATGAATTAAATCTTGGTTTTCTTCTTCAATCTTGACACTGATTGCATCCCCAGGTTGGGCCATGTTCAACAGTGCAAGAGTACTCCTCGTTGGGTTCATAGACACACCATTGTCATCACCCCCTAAAGTGAATTCACTCTCTGATGTGGCACTCTCTCCACTTATACTTCTACTACTAGAAACAATCTCTTGACTCCTGCTATTGTTTAACGTATTATCAACAGGAACTTCGTTATCTTCTTCAGATTCATGATTGGTAGCAGACTGCTTCTTGAATGGACCAGCACTTTGCTCTTGGACTTCATGACTTGGTCCAACCACTGGTGAAGTTATTTTAGATGCTTTATTTTGACCAGGTGTGTCGATGTGGTGTTGATCCAGAGATATTTTTGATGGAAGGCTAGGTACTGGTGGAAGGTTTACAGTAACCTGATTTCCATTTAAGGAAATATCACTTATATTCTGTGGTTTTCCCACTGTAGTTGTTATAGAGTTAAAATCTGGAGTCACATGCACAGCATCTAATGGCTGCTGAAAATGAGATTTAGAATCACTTTCTTCAACAGCTGGAATGGTTTCATCTGAAGTTGACTTGGAAAAATCAGAAGGTGTAACCCCACAAGCTGCTGCTGTAGCTGCTAAAATATCATCCACATTTGATAAAATATTTCTTTCATCGCTGAGAAGCATTGCCTCTGGGAAGCATATTGAACCAAGAGAAACAAACTGATTCTTTGACTCATGTTGACTTGTTTCACTAAAATGGCCTTTTGTTGTCAGATGCTGCTGTAATGGTTTTGAAGACTCAGAGAGGTCCATTTTCATAATTTCAGAATTTTGAGGATGAAGTTGTTGCTGAGAATGATCACCATTGCTCTGAATAACATGACCATCAATTTGAAGGAATGGATGCACTATTTGTTGTGGACTTTGAACACGCTGTAAAGGTGCCTTTACTTGTCCTAAACCTGCTTGCAGTATCGATTGCTGAAGAATTTGTAAATCACAGGTAGAATCTAAAAGGACCTGTGTATTAGGAAGAGATGCCTGACGGCCATGCCCTAAAGCATGACTTGGAATTTGAATCTGAGATGAGGCATTAATAATTTGATCGTGCTGTTCTTGGACCTTGGCTTCATGTACCTTATGAAGAGAATGCTGCTGGTTTGGGTCTTTAGAATTCAATCTTATTTGTGGAGTTTGCATTAAGTTAGTTGTCTTCTTAATTTCAAGGGTAGCTGCATTATTGACTTGACCAATTTGTTGGTTCATTTGTGTCACTGAACCAACCATGGTTTCTTCTTTTTTTGATACTTGTAAAGCAATCCCAACAACTTCATCTTCAAGACGGGAATTACTTCTAATTACACTCTGAGAATATCTGTCATCTGCCTTTGATACTTTGTAAGTTGGTTCTTGAGCATTAATTTCCCCATCAGATAGCCTTTGGGTTGATGACTCAAGAGATACTTGTGGCTGTAAGACCTGTAACTCTTGCATTGGAAAATTATCTTCTTGCTTTGAAGATGTATACACAGTTGAGTCAAGTTTTCTTTCAGCATAGGTCTTTGGATCAGGAGAAGGTATGTTATTCTGTAATGTCTGACAATGAGTAGAAGATGCAAAAGATGATGGCTGGACAGCAGGCAAAAATTTTTGGGACTGGGGAGATGATGACCCTTGATTTTGAACATTCTGGGAAGAATGCATAGAAATATAATTTTGAGTTGGGCTAGAATCTGGCAAATTCTGGGCCCGAGAGGCAGAAGAATAAGAGAGAGAAGGGGGTGTTAACGTGAGGGACTGCCCTGAAGCATATTCTGAAGGACTAACAGCTGATAAAACTTGTGATTGAGATGAATAACTAACCTGTGTCTGGCTAACTGGTGATAAACCCTGAGAGTGACCAGATGAATAACTTTGCGACTGGCTAACTGAAGACAGATCTCTTGTTTGAGCAGGGTAATTCTCATTTGTAACTGAAGATAATACCTCTTGCTGATTAGATGAATAATTAAGTGTCTGATTTTCAGAAGTCATAGTCTGAGATGACCCAGAAAAAGTCAATGTTTTATATAAGGATGGCAATTTTTCAACTTTGCTGGACCTATAAACCTGTGAATGAACAATAGATGGAACATTATGTGGCTGAACTAAGCCATAATTTTGAGACTGACTAACTGATAAAAGGCTTGGTAGCTGCGCTGTAGAATAAATTTGTGCTTGGCCTGATACTACAGAACTCTGGTTATGTAAAGGTTTGGAATAGCTTAGTGTTTGTACAGGAGGAATAATATTTTGAGGTTTGGGAGTCTCAGTTGATGTTAGTGGTTGTTTTGAAGAACAGCTTTTTACTTCTGTAGTAGAAGGATACCCTGATGATGGAATTACAGATGAGTAAGACTGAGCAAGTTCCACTGAGACCTGGGAGGTCTTCTGTTGCAATCCTCCATTGCTCACCTGAGTAGAATCTCCAATAGGACTGCAGGATAAAGGTGACTGCCTGGTTGTTTCCTGAAAATTGGCTACACTTGTATTTGATAGAAAACTATGTAAGGAATGTTGTGAGCCAGTCAGTTGTGCCTGAATAGACTGGGTACCTGAAGGCCGCTGATGGTGTTTAATAACACTACATTCTCGAAGAAGAGCTCTTTCAATGGAAGCAGTAGAACTAGTAAAGAGAGCTGAATTGTAAGCTTGAGGAGTTTGCTGGGCTCCCCCAAGTGCTGAAGGCAACAAACTAAATTGGGGTTGTAAAAGATGGGGTGCAGACTCTTGAGCTGAGCGATATGTTGAAGACTGGGGTGGTATGCTGTTACTTAATGCAGAACTGCCCAGGCGTTCAAATGCCAAAGGGGTTGGAACAGTTCCCTGGGAAGTCTTGATTTGAAGCAAAGGGTCATGAGGACTTAAAATTCCATTTGATGTAGTGTTAAAGGTTGAATCCTGAAGCACCAAAGGTGAGGTGGTAGCAAAGTTCCTATTGCTGAAGGTGGTGGGATGCTGATAAGTAGAAAGGGCAGAAGGTGGAAGTGTTCCAGTGGTTGGCAGGGGTCCAGTAACAAACAGCTCGGTTGCTGCTGAGGAATGCATACCTATGAAGAGAAAGCAAAATGATCTTCATGCAGTTACAACATAAACACCTATATGTGCATTTTCTTTTTTAATTTTTTATGCATACAAGAACGTTGGTATAGGTCAGAGGTGTAGGAGTGAGAGGAGTCACCAGAGACAAAGTGGGGAGCAGAATGGGCAGATCTACTGAAATACACTGCTGAGGGAAGCAATGGATAAGACCGGAGAGGTCTGCTGTGCCATGTGGGTCAGCTCCCTGTCCTGAGATTGAACTCATATCACAGTAGCTGGCAAGAACTTGGAAACACTGAAACTTTAACCCCTGTGCCACCACGGTAGCCCTATATATACATTTTCATAATAGAAACAGCAGTGAGATTAACAGTGCAAAGTTTTGGATCTCCCTGGTGGCCTAGGGGTTAAGTCTCAGTGTTATCACCGCGACAGCCTGAGTTCGATCCAGCCAGAAAATCAACCCACATATGGCACAGCAGGCCTTTCTTATATAACCTGCTGCTCCCCTTAGCAGTGCATTTCAGTAAATCCACCTGTTTGACTCCCCACTCTGTCTCTGGTGAATCCTCTCATCCCTCACCTACCCACTCCCCATACCTCTCTGGCCTATACCCCAGTTTTTCTATGGGGGAAAAAAAAGTGCAAAGTTTCTTTTAAACAAATATGTGCATTTTAAAAAATCTCCCAGTCGCTTCCATTTCAAGGTTTGATTTCCTATGAACAACTTCCAATAACAACAGATGCATAGTTGTCATAAAAGGTTGATAAGGAATTTAGTGTGGTTGAGATGTTTAACATTTTAGCCACATATACCAGAAATAAAGGTGTGTATACAGCCTTGTGATCCAACAGTTCTACTTACAGAAATTAATCCCATGGAAATATCTGCATGAGCTATTCATTACATATTAAAAACCTAAATATCCATCATTAGAGGACTGATTAAATAATTATGGCATATCCTAACAACACTGTTGCTATAAACATTAATTAAGTGAACATATATATTTTGATCTACAAGATAAAAAAAGTAAACACCAAACTATTAATTCCTCTCTAAAAAGTGGTACTGTAGTTTGGAATTATTACTTTCCACTTATGTGTCCTTTCAATTGTTTAAGTTTTTTGTGTCTGTGAGCAGCCATCAAAAACAATCTGGGGGCGCCTCCCTGGTGACACAAGGGGTTAAGTCTCAGCACTATGAAGCTATTGGTGAGCACTACATTATGAGTTTGATTTCCCACCAGGGATCTGTGCTACATGGCATAGGAGACCTCTCCTGTCTTGCTCACTGCTCCCTTCAGTGTATTTCTGCCTGTTCTGCTCCCCACGTTTTCTCTGGTGAATCCTCTCACCCCTACCTCCACCTCTGGCCTATACTCTAGTTCTTATATGCATAAATAAATCTTTATAATAAAATTGTATTTCCTACCATACTGAAAAAGAAAATAATATATACAATTACAAAATAAACAATCTGACGGGAGAAAAAAATTGAGAATCAAAATGTGAAAAACAGTAAAGTATAGATAAATGGAACACTATATTAATGTTAATTTTTTTCATTAAACAGAATTTTAATCTGTTCAGTTTTTACATAACACTAATGATGGAATTAGACCCAAGATTATTTTTTTACCACAACTAGAAAAATACATGTTATCACTGCAAATGTTGTGATTTCACTTTAAATATCTTATCTTTTTATGTCAATTACACCTCAACAAAACTGAAATTTAAAAAATTTAATCTTTGTGGTTTCCCTGTTGCCCACTGCTGAGGCCTGAGTTTGATCCTTGACCAGGTGCTAAGCAAACCACATGGCACAGCAGAACTCTCCTGTTTGACCAGCTGCTCCCCTCAGCAATGTATTTCAGTAGGTTTGCCCGTTCTGCTCCCCCACTGTCTCTGGTGAATCCTCTCACCACCACCTACCCAACACCTACAGCCTATGCAAGAAAAAAAAAAATCTTAAAAAAAAAAAAAAACTTTAATCATTGCTTCTTTCAAGTAAACAGATTACTTAAATTGCCATATAATAATTTCACATCTATCTTTTTAATTTCAATTTGTTAGTACTTTAAAAGACTGTTGAAACTTAAGTTCTGTTACTAACAGTTAATTCTTGAATTTTGTCCACCTGAGAAATGTGAAAAACTGCAAGTTTTAAAGTTCACTGGGAAATCAATAATTAACATCACTTTCAGTCACATTACCATAATGACAAGGCAATTAAAGTATGTATATTTTTATTAGAAATTATACAGAACTTAAAAATTCTAAAAATCAAGAATCACCTGTCTGCCAGGATGGAGCCCTGAATTGTGGTAAAAGAGTAGTTCCTGAAGAAGCAGCCTGAGCAGTTCGGGTTTCAACAGCAGTGAGAAAATTCATCACTGAAGATTCTTTAGTATTAGTGCTGGCACTGTTCACACTAGTATCAAATATTCCAGAAAGACCTACATTTGAAGATAAAATATACCAAAATAAAAATATTTAGTAAAATTAAGTTCTGACCTCATTTAAAAAAGAAATCTCTGAAAATGAGACCAAATATTTTATAACCCTAAACTTTTTAAAAACTATAAATATTAGTTTCACCAACTTTATTTATAATTTAAAGTCTACAAAGATGCATAAAAAAATGACTTCCAACTAATTAACTATGCAGCTGTTCCTTATCAGTAAAAAACCAAGCTTTTAACCTCATTTTCATGTTAACATTTCCATTAGAACCGCTATACCCTGCACACACTCATAACCCAACATGTGAAAACTGATGTTTCTTCAGTTACTAAATATACCAGATTCATGTTGTTTCACAAGGAAATTTTTACCAGTTGGCTGAGGTGTGGTAGCATATCCAGAAAGCTGATGAGAGGCTGCAAACGTCTGTCTCTGAAGAAGATCTGTTTCAGGGTGTGAGGGATGTCCTTCTTCATAGCTTAAGCTAGAATAGTTAAAAAAAAAAAAAATCAGTGACCAAACCCACAAAGCCAAATCATTAAGATAAAAATATTTCTAGTAGACAACCAAAATCTTCAACTAAATTCCTGGCCTACAGATCAGATGACATTTTCGACAATACTGTCAAAATGAGTATTATACACTAGAAAAAAAATAACATGGCATTTCCTTAATTCAACTTTACCTCCAACAGAGTCGTTTTATTTGCAGAGTTAACATGAGATGAGAAGAGCAATATCCTAGAAAATAGGAGAGCGGAATTCATTGTCTAAGCTCTACTTCTGGCTTATAATATCACCTCAAAAAGTTAACTCAATTGATACTGGACTAAATTTTATCTGTATGAAAAGAATCTAGTCAAAATAATCTCTAATGTACCTCTAATCCTAACATTCTATGGAGTGTCAGTTAATTCAAATAATAATAATATTTCCCAATAACACACCTAGAAAATGTCAGATATTTTTCTCTCCTTCATTTTGAATATCTGAAATACTGAAATAACACATTAAATTCTATCAGTCAAGATTAAAATTCAATACTAAAGTCAAGCAACCATCATTCTACTTTCTGCTTGTGAATTTGATACGTCTGAATGTTTGGTCAACCCATATTATCACTAACTTTCGCTTTTATTATCAGTCTTCAGCTCCTTTCACTTAGCATATTTCACAAGCATATCTGAAATACAACATGGTTATACCACTACTCTTCCATTTTATGGCAGAAAAAGATCCCATTGTATAGTCATGCCACTTTTGTTTAGCCACTCAGGTGATGAAATTTGGGTCATTTTCACCTTGGACTACTGTGAGTAATATAGTTATGAACATTTACATACAAGTTTTCATGTGAACTTGTTTTTAATCTCTTGAGACTATACCTTGGATTACTGTTGAGTTATATGATAACTCCATGTTTAACATTTAGAGCATGGCCAAAGTATTTTCCAAAATGGTTGTAATTGCTTAACTTTTTTGTTAATACTTGCTATTTCTTGTGTTTTAATTATAGTAGCCATTTTGGAGGTGTAAATAAACTGTTATCTCATTGTGTTTTTGATTTGCATCTAGGTAATGATGCTGACCATCTTTACACAGTCTTACTGACAATTTGTATTTCTTTGCACAAGTCTATTCAAATATCGTGCCTATTTTTAAAGTTGAGTTGGCTTTTTATTATTGAACTGTAAGAGTTATTTAAATACTCTAGGTATAAATACTTAATACACTGACTTTAAGAACTATTTCCCATTCTGCAGATTATCTTTTCACTTTATTAATGTTTTCATTTGCAGTATAAAAGTTTTTAAATTTTGATGAAGTGCAATTTTTTTTTTTGGTCACTTCTACTTCTGATGACGTATCTAAGGTCCTAAAGATCTATGCCTGTGTTTTCTTTAAGAATTTTATAGTTTTAATGTTTACATTTAAGTTTGTGTTCCATTTTGGAATAATTTTTGTATAGATGAAGTAGGAATCCAACTTCATCCTTTTGCTACTTATTTCAAGTACAATTTGAAGGTCTTTAACTAAAAGACGCCTCCCACCAGCCTTTTAAATTATGACAACCATGCTTCACATTAAAACAATCCACACACACACACACACACACCATATCATACTTCCTTACTTAATGAGAGTATAGACAGTAACACCCCAATAGCAAAAAGCATGTCTAACGCCCAGATCTTAGTTTCTAATACCATTCTCTTATAAAAGAAAACAGAGCTCCCTGGAGGAATGGTTGGTTTTAGAACTGTGCAGGAAATACACAAAATGAGCCTAAAGTATCTTCCAGTGCCAGAAAGCAAGAAAGTGCTTAAAGAAGAAAAAGCAAAGAGAAGGCATAAAAATGCTACTATTCTAGGGATTATGTTATGTAAAGAAACACAACTCAGAAGGCAATTGAAAAGCTCCCAATAACCAAAGGAGGCAAACTTTGAGCAAATAAATTAAGTAGTATTGAATTGCAACCCAAAGTATAAAATATATATCTGAATCTTTACTGATAGAATGACATGATTAAATAAGTAAATATCAATACAAAAGAAAAATCAACCCCACATCGTTCTGAATAATTTGTGTAAATACTTTACTCTGAAAGTGTAGATGGCACATAAGTGACTTCATTTCAAAGGGGACAGACCATATGGAAGGGGAATAAAAGAGTCACTTTACAATGAATATATCTAGTCAACACTGTCTATACAACGCAGTGATAATGCTCAATGTCAACAGTGATAAATCATGTTGATAAGCTGTGCCCTTTATATGATGTGACAAAAATGACCCAGCCTCTTTGCTCTCCCTCTGAAAAACCTGTAACTCCAGTTTGACCATGAGAAAAACTGTAAGGCAGATTCCAATAGAGAGCATTCTATCAAATACTTAACCTGTACTCCTCAAGCCTGTTAAGGTCATCAAAAGCAAGGCAAGCCTAATAAATAAACTGTCACCGACAAGAGAAACATAATAAACAAGATGAATGTAAAATGGTATCCCTGGAAAGAAAGGAAATCTGAGTAAGCTATAAACTTTAGGTGGTAATAATATAGTAATTTTAATACATGTACCATTAGAATGTAAGAAACTAGTAACAGATGAAGGGAGTTTACAGGAATCCTAGTATTGCTTTATGAATCTAATACTATTCTCAAAAAAAAAAAAAAAAAAAAAAAGCCTGTACATTAAAAAAAAAATCTATAAACCATGTCAAACCTGAACAAACTCCTTTAAGAATAATAAGAGAATCTGTAAAAATCTGTTGTTTGGGTTTTTGTTTTATTTTTGTATCAACGCCAATAATTTCTTCAGTAGGCAAGACCTAATCATAGTACCTAGTGGTCTCTCCATTCCTCTCTCTGCAAAACAGTTATCTTATGGTTTGCATCCATGAATCAATAATACCAGTCTACTCCTTGGATAGCATATTCAAATCTATAATATTTAAAAAACAAAACACACCCCAAGTTAAAAAAAAAAAATCAGTTAGCAAGGGTCCTCCCAGGTGGCTCAACAGGTTAAAGCACAGCACTAGGAAGCTAGCCAGACCCTGCAATGTGAGTTTGATCCCTGGCGAGGGAGGTGACCCAAATGGTGTGGCAGACCTCTCCTGTCTCGCCTGCTTCTTCAGTGTATTTCATCAATCTGTCTTTTCTGCTCCCCGTTCTGTCCCTGGTGAACTGGTGAATCTTCTCACTGCCCTTGTACCTCTGGCTTGAACCCCAACTGTATGCACAAATAAATCTTTATTAAAAAATCAATTAGCAACATATTTCATGAAATATGCTAAATCCCGGGTAAGCAAGCCAGTACTTGCATGCAAGTAATAAGTTACTTAAGCACTAACTGAATAATTTTGTCTTAAGTAATATATAATCTTTTCTCTGTTAAAGAATTCGGACACTGGAAAAACATACACTAATATAAAAACTGAATTCTCATTAAGCTTTGAAAATGTTGCTTTATTCTGACATATCTACCAATTTTTCATAACTAAAAAACTGGATTGAGTTTTAAGTCCCAGATGCCAGTCCTGATTCTGCACATAACGTGTTTCAAACTTCGCAAAAGCACACAATTTATCAAGTCCCAGTTTTCCTATGTTCTTATTTTTTATATTCTTTTAAAGAAAAGATGTATTCATTTATGCATATAACAACTGGGGTACAGGCCAGAGGTACACCCTGGGTGCAGGGTGAGAGGATTCACTAGAGACAGAGTGGGGAGCAGAACAGGTGGACCCACTGAAACACACTGCTGAGGGGAGCAGTCGGCAAGACAGGTGAGGTCTGCCATGTCATGAGGGTCATCCCCTTGGCTGGGGATATAACTTTTGCTGTGGTGGCTATGGTTAATTTCATAGTTTTACACATTAACCCACTGTGCCACCAGGGAGGGCTCCTGTATTTCTGATATTCTGAGTTAATCTAAGTATGTTTACTCCATTAATCACAGTAGTCTTTAGTACGATAACCTGTTTTTTAAATTGAATAAAGAAATAAACAGTGAGCTCTCTAAACTTTGTGAGTGGAATTCTAGCATTCCTGTCTGTCCCACTCATATCTAAATACCAATATTTTATTACTTCTTATTTTGTTTTTGTTAATCATAGTGAGAACTCTATACAAAAACATGAAGCAAATGACTAATCCGTCTATCAAAAATATAAAAATGTTCTTATTAACTGTGAGTATAAAAAAATTTCATAAATCTTGAACCATGTATTGGCTGCAATAAAAACACAGGCTTTGCAAATATAGACATTAAGACAAATCCAGATCTGACTTTAGCTTCAAGTTGCAGAATTTGTAATCACATAATCTTTTTCTTTCTTAGCTTTGTCAACAGTAAGAGGATATCAATAACCATTTTCATAAAGTAGTTGTGAGAAATGTGTTTTTGAGTATTTTATTGCACCTAAATGTAGTAAGGTATGTAATGTAAATGTAAAATATAATGCTTTTATATAACCATATTTACTGACTACCTAATATGCTAGGTAACAAGATACAGAAATAAAGAGGTATGATAATAACAATATGGCAGAATAGGAAGGTCTTAATAAATCTCTCCTTTAAATATAACTAGGACAAAAATGATTTTTGCTCATAGGAAATTTCACAGGTTCACGACCAAATGAAGTACTTAAACTACATAAACTTAACTCTAAAGGTTGATGGTTTGCTGCAAGTGCCAAAACGGAGATGAGGGAACTGTAACTAGGGTATCAGTAATACCAATAGCCAGGGACTGATAACCTGAATAATCAACAGCTAGGGACTTGACAGACTTAGCAGGCACAGATATTGTGCCTGGGGAACTTTTTCAACGAGGTGGCGGAGTGTGTCTGTGTGCGCACACGCGCACTAATCTTCATGCACACAAGCACTAGGATAGTTATTTTATTCATAGAAAATCATGCTGTTGGGTCCTTCCTGGTAGCAAAAGGGGCAGCA